GTGTGTGTGTGTGTGTACTAGTTTGTGTGAGATTATAAATGGCTTCCTCTCCCCTTCATTCTGCTATTTCCTCTGGATTCAATCTATCATGCTGTTCTGAGTTTGATCTGCATGTATCTGTGTCCAAATGTTGTTACACGTAACAAATCATGACCTGCAGAAGTAAACTGGCTGCTGTCATAGACCACATTTTCAGCACTTGGTTGATTGAATCCAGAGCTGTCCTTTGCTGCTACGGCTTGCTTCATCACCTAATCAGTACATTACAATTCATAGTGCAACAAATGTTGTAGAGGTAAAGAATACTAATTTTGAGATTTAGGAGATGTTGAGTCCTGACAAGTTGTGTCATTTCCATTTAAAACCCAATAATTCTGTTGGTCTTTAATATTGTAGATGAGGACAGCATCAGTGACTGGTCCACTGACAGCTGCGGGTGGAGCGACGATGAGTTTGGGGTGGATTTGGACGTCACTACGCCTCCCCTGAGTGTGGACTCCGGTGCTGTGGACACAAGTGACCAAGAGATTGTGCGATGTATCTGTGAGGTAGAAGAAGAGAATGACTTTATGATTCAGGTGAGCTGGTTATATTTTTTTTTGTCAACACTTACAGCCTGTCTATTTTTAGGGCATTGCAAGCTTTTTTGTTTTGTTAATCTCAGAATTGCACTATTGTAAAACATACTTGTCCTTCCCTCAGTGTGAAGACTGTTTGTGCTGGCAACATGGCACCTGCATGGGCCTGCTGGAAGACAATGTTCCAGACAGATACACCTGCTACATTTGCAGAGACCCACCAGGTGAGGGAGCAACACAAAGCCCCATGGCTATAAATTACACACGTCCTCTTTTACATTTGTTGCCATCAAAGCACTCTTGTTCAACTCATCTGGTAGAACGCATGCTTCCTTTTTTCATTTGTATTATCTGCCAGCTAGTGAACAATACAAAATATGACACTATAGAACAGTGGACAGTGATTCCTTTTTTCTTTTTTTAAGATTCTAAAGTTCACTTTCATAGTAACAACTGTTAACTATTTTATAATATATCATCAGCTTTTTTTTCTTTTAGTAATTGGATGGTTTTCACTGATTGTGTTAACCACAGATGTACAGTAAACTGGGTTCTGATGTAGCAGGGCTCAGAATATGCTTCCAGTTATTGGAAGAGAAGGCAAAAAAAATTTAAAGAGAAGAGCCATTGATTATGCTTCAGATAAACTCAAGCATATTCATTTAAGTCCCTCAATATCATAAAACAGGGGCCTTACAAGTATGTCCACAATAAATGTGGGAAATGAAGAGCTGCATGTTTGTACAGTAGCTGTTTTTAGCTTGACAAAATGACACTTAGGAGACAAAGCTAACGCTGCCAGAATGGAGAAGTAAGCTGGTGTGCATGTTTGGAGCAAGTGAAACACATTGTCTGTAAAACAGAATTGTGGAAGGAAGTATTTTGTGTTGGACTTGGATTTGCCTCTTCTGCTATGCACCCTGGTTAAGAGTGTGTACTGCATCTGCATTTGGACTTAAGGAATGCAATATATAATTCCTTTTTAATCCAAACAACCAACTACAACAGCACACACAACTTGGCTCTTAAAGAGAGACTCTCGACCACCTCACAGGTTTACATCAAAACCATTTAATGGCAATTTGTTGATCGCTCCCAGGTCAGAGGCAGAGTCTGCGTTACTGGTATGATCGTGAGTGGTTGAGCAATGGTCACATGTATGGCCTCTCCTTCCTGGAAGAGAACTACTCTCACCAAAATGCCAAGAAGATCACCACAACCCACCAGCTGCTGGGAGATGTGCACCATGTGGTTGAGATCCTCAACGGGCTGCAGCTCAAGATGAGCATCCTACAGTGAGTACAAAGGAACTGCATGAAGAGACTTTGGGGTTTTCCTGTTAACTACTTCAAAATTTCAAAAAAAGTCAAAATTGTAATTGTATTTTCTTTTTCTTCAGGAGCAATACTCACCCTGACTTGCAGCTGTGGCGGCAGCCCTGGAAGCATTTGGAGAGGTCAAGGACCGGCTCCGACTCGTTTCGTGGCAGTGATGCAGCTCCGTCCCCTGTGACTCCTGATGAGGACATGAGCCGTGGTGAGATTTTAATGTCCAATGCCCTGGAGAAGCTGAGCCGTGCTACCACCTCGTCTTCGTCCTGCTCTTCCTCCCCCTTTCCGTCCTTCCAGGACTCGTACATTACCAGTGAACATTGCTACCAGAAACCACGGGCATATTACCCGGCGGTGGAGCAGAGGCTGGTGGTGGAGACCCGACAAGGCTCAGAGCTGGAGGACAGCATGAGAAGCACAGAGGAACTGTTAGAACGGGAGCAGCGCTACGGAAGCCTGCTGGAGACAGACAAGCCTAAATCAACAGGCACCAGTAACAAGGTTAGGCTTTATTCTACAGCAGACAAGGATGTTTAAAGTGCAGCAAGATCTTAAATTAATTAAGATTCTGCTTGTGACGTGACTAAAACTCTTGAATATAGTTGAGAAGTTTGACATAACTCAACAACTTAACCTCCCTCCTGGTGTTAGAGGCAACATATTTCTAGGCAGTTTTTTTTTTAATTTATTTTTTTTGGCGGGGGGGACTTGTCAGTGAGTCGTCAGGGTTATACAGTCTTAATTTATAGAGTGGACAACAGAATGTTTTAAATTAGAAGTCAGTTGTCAAGGCAACATTACATGGGAGTTACTCAAAAGATTTAAGGATTTATCTCAGCCTTTGTTTGAGCACCAATCATGATGTAACTATCCCTTTTGGTTGTTTGTCTTGAGCATGAATAGTGCATCCATTTGGCAGAAAGCTTTTTGTAGAATGGTTGTATGAAAACCGTGTCTGACTTCTCCTGAATGTCTCTAGGCTTCGATGGGTGGCTCTTGGTCCCAGGCTGAGATGAGGGAAGAGGAGGGAAGAGGTCCTGGAGAGGCTGCAGACAACAGTAGGCAGCATCAACAGAGGCAGATCAACCTGCTGGATCACATAGATGCAGTCCAGGACGAGGTCTCGCACAGGATGGACTTCATTGAGAGGGAGCTGGACGGTAAGACCTGTTGTGGCCTTGGCGCTAGTTACGAAGTTAGTCTCTTTGGCACAGCAGGGTAGGAAATTTTGACGTTTATTTCCCCAAATTATCATAATGCTGTTTTCACATGGATTCAGGCAGACTACAAACCAGATATCATGTTAGTAGACATGAACAGGAAATTGAATCTAGTTGAGGCCGTCAGAGAATACCAGTTGACAGTATTGTTGTCCAAAGTTAACGCAGAAAGCTGCACTTTGTAGCTATGTGCATTACTAATAATGGTTACATAAAATGGTGGTCCATCAAGATTGCTTATGTTAGCAGCCAACTGCTTGAGACTAGAATAATGTCTGTGGGGTAAAACCAACCGATCACCTGTAACCACGTTTTAAACTATGGTTGTTCTTCTGCTCATCCTCCTCAGTGCTGGAGAGCTGGCTGGACTACACCGGTGAGCTGGAGCCTCCTGAGCCCCTGGCCCGACTGCCTCAGCTCAAACACCGCATGAAACGGCTGCTGACACAGCTGGGCAAGGTGCAGCAGATTGCTCTGTACAGCTCCACATGAGGGCGCCAAAGAACAGCAGTGGCCTCAGTCTCCACACAGCATGCAGAAAAAGTGCAGCAGAGGAAGCTCACTGGTCTCTGGCTGCAACGATAAAGATATTAATGCAAGTGCCAGACTTGGATTGTTCAGCACGTTTTCTCTGACCTGACATCTGCTGCTGTTTCTCCCTTTGAAAAGGTTCTGTGTGGTGGAATCCGATGCTAGCTCCAGCCAGTGTCATATGACTATTTTATATGAACATTTATGGAAAGTCAGCATCTTAAATCAGGATTAAACACAAAAGTAACCTCGTAAATGCAGGAGAACATCCTTAGGACCAGATTACACTTCTATGGTTCCCATGCAACTCTAAACCTTATGAATGCCTTTTGTCTGAGCTACTGCTTAAAGGGTAATTCTGGTATTTGTAAACCTGAACCCTATTTTTACGTATTTTGGGGTCTAAATGAGTTCTGTTTATTAAGTTCTGGAATTGGTCCAGTAGGTCACAGCTGGCACGCACAGCACTAGCTGTGATGACTGCAACGTAATCCTAAAGAGTAAGATCCTTTTTTGTTTAACCAGAAACGGCTGGGGGAGAGAGGGGATGACATGCAGCAAAGGGACACAGGTTGGACTCAAACCTGTGCCGCTGCAGTAAGGACTCCTTGGTACATAGGGCACCAGCTCTATCGGGTGTTGCACATTAGTTTGAATCCGAACTAACTTAAGAGTCAGTTCGTTGTAGAGCTCCATGTAAGAAACTCTGAGAAGGAGGAACATTTTTTTTTTTTTTTTAATTTAAAAAAAGAATATAACCATTTGGAAGATGTCTTCCACAACCAGAGGTGTCACTTGTGGAGTATGGTCTCACTCAACTATGGTAAAAGCCTTTCCAGAGGAAATATGCCCATCGAACTAATGTGTTAAAACACAAATCACACAAACTAAATAACCAATCGAGGCAGCAGTACAAGTTCTGTGTTCTGCAAGGTGAAATGAAGTTTTTGTCAATGGAGTCTGGTGGCTTTGATCAGAGCGATACAGTCCCAGAATGTGTTTCTGGTTAAACAAAAGGATCTTACTCTTAAACTTCCTTTCCCTACTGTTGTCAGACATTTTGAATCAATCTGAGCCCATCAGTGGCAGTCGGCTGATGTGATCTAGTGGACAAATTCCAAAACATCGTGTACATTTAGTCATTTGGACACCAAAGTAGGTTTTTAAAATGTTTAAAGAAATAGGGCCCGGGTTTAAAAATATGGGAACTGCCCTTTGAGGTTGCCTGTTCCCTGTCTCTCTCAGTACACAGTGCTTTACATGCAGAAGCTTTATATTCAAAATTGCAATCGAGTTCCTGAACTTACACGGCCTCTTTGCAATAGTTATTGAACACGTTTTCAAATGGTCACCATTTTTGTGTTTTACCCAAAGTTCTGTTTTGGTTACGTGTCATGCCATACTACATTACACGTCTGTACAAGCAGTCTACAAATAGTTTGTTCTGTTTTTGACCTACTCAAGGGTTTGTTTTATACTACACTGTGAAGTTATTTTTGTCTGGAATCAAAGGTATCTTATTTTCAGTTTTAGACACGACAAGTGTGATTTCTGCTTTGTCTTAAAACTGTAATGCTTCTCTCCTAAACAGAGCCCTCACATCAGCGTACCAGTTTTGAGTTAATCTATGTGTTTGTCAGTTACTGTATCCTTAATTCAATTTACTCTTTGCATTGTTGTTGCTGTAGCACTTGACCTATGATTCACTGAAAACTGTAATGTGGACTTGTCTTTTCTTAACCTAGCATCTTGTGCTTTGTCAGTGAAGAATACTACTTAGAAAACTTGTAAATGTCTTTCTTTTTTGTTTAATTTGTTTATTTACAGTGTTTTGGTTTGTAAATATGTTATTCAGAAATGTGCTCTTCTGTATTGAGAACATTCTCCAAATTCAGATATTGTATGCTACTGTAAGTGTCTGGCTTAGAAGCAGGGAAATGTCAAAAACAATGCAAACAGATTTGCTGGTACATAAATAAACTCATTATTACTTACTCTGGACACATTCTTCACTGTTGTCTCGCTGTGTCTGACATACTGTTTATTTTAAGAAGAGTGGTCATATTTATCCAGCTGGCAACACTAGCAGTGAAGTCAAAGGTTGGATTAGTCACAGTTCATGTGCACACATCAGTCAGTTTGATGTAACATGTTTTGTTCGCAGCTGATTTGTGCTCTTACACAATCACATTGAAATTAAGGGCAGCAGCAGTCTGCAGGTTGAAGGCATGAGCTTGTGACTTGAGTTTCTTTTCTCAGAACTACAGCAAATCATGCTAAATGCTTTCCTGCTGAGGTGCCATTGAGCAAGGCATTCAACCTCCAACTCACCAAGGTAGCTGCTCATGACTGGAAAACCGCCCTGCATGCACTGGGCAGCTGCAGTTTGGAGACTATGAAGGACAGGGACTTTATTTTTTGGAGGGGTGGGGGACTGCGTGCATACTTTGATGTAATGTTTGTATTGCATAGCCGATTTGTGCTGTTACACAATCAGCTTGAAAATAGAAACTTGATGGGAATTCTAATCGGTTAATCTCCAACATTTGAGCCAGCATCATGTGGTGACAGAGCAGCGCAACTGATATCATACTGCCCACAAAGAACCTGTGCAGTGTTAAGCCAACATGTTCACCTCTGGATTTGAAGGGTGTTTGGCTGCACTATTACCAAAGATGGACTATGTTAAAAAGACAGAATTGCCCTTGATAGAAAAATAAATGCAAATGATCTCACCTCCTTCTCGTCAAAAGTGGGCGTTTACTCTCAGGTAAGAGCCTGTTGTCCAACCTACGACTGAAGCAGCTCTGCGTCAAAGCCATAGTGAAGTTGGGAACCAGCATAAAACGTTAATATCTGCTTGTGAGTGTCGGTGTGACCATTTTTTGTTTCCCCGTGCCTTGGGAGCAGAGTCTCGTCTTCATTATTTTGGAGCAGAGTGAGACCTCCTGCCTCCTCCTCCTGTCTGTGGTGTGTACCGCCTCCTCCCATTGGCTCCTCCGCGTTGTCTGCGACGCAGCGTGTAGTTCCGCCCCGGAGTCACATCGAAATACTAGTTAAGGCTGAGGAAGCGGCAGGCAGCAGCAGTGTGTACTCTGTACTTAAATATACAGATTGCCGTTGATATTCAACAGTTCACCCGGAGAGGAATTGACTGGAACCCACCGGACTTTGATTTCAGCTCGAGGTAAGTCTCACATCCGTGTTTTCGCGGGAGCTTTTCCCCATTCCCACCGTTTACAGATGTGCCCGATGCCACAGGAGATTATCTCAGCTCGCTGAATTGCCCAACCTGTTCACGTTGCTGTCTTTGTGTCGCCTCGTTTGTTAGAGGAACGGTGGCAGAACAACAACCAACCATTGTCTCACTCTTTAAAACACGTTAAACACCGGTTAAAACCCACGTTAAACACCGGGGAACCGACGCTAAAGCGGCAGTGGGAGAAACTGCAGCTCAATTGAAATGAGTTCATCGCTGCTCCTCAACAGTGATGCGACATAACGCTATTTTCACACCGTATCTTCATTTTGTCAGCGCCGTGCGGGCTGCTAGTAGTTAGTTCTTCTGTTACATTATGTTCCCGCTAAATAATAACTTAGGTTCTAGCTATTTATAATGAAATGAGGCCTGTCACGATGCGTTACATCGTAAATTACCGAGCTGAAACAACTAAAGAAATGTTAGCCGAATAGCTTATAGCTTTTTTTTGTGGGGGGGGGGGATTCATTACAGTGATACAATACAAACCCACTAGCAATACGAGTTAACCTCATAATAAGATAGCAGGTTTAGATTATAAACTCATTGTTGAGTATAATCAAATACAAGTTGTGCTAATATGTTTATTAGAGGAACATGATTTCCTTTTGTCTGGAGTTTGAAGAGAAACCTCTAACACAAGCGAAAAGCCCCAGATCTGCGTGTTCAATGTGTGGCTTGCCTTCTCCCACGTTGTCACTGTAAATCATACTCTTTATTCTGCACATTTTTCTTTTTCTCCAAACACTCTCTCCCAGTCTAGACCTGGCAGATCCACCATTATCATTTAGGTCAATCACAGTGATGTAGCTGCAGGTGTAACACATTTAGGCACCACATGACGGATGACAATGTCACTGGTGGCCATGTGAAGGTCACACAGGTGGGAAGTGTAGGAGAGTGGGCATCAGGTGTTTCCCCTTACTAAAAATAACACTTGTCATCTTGGGATATATTTTAAAAGGACACTGTGTTCTGCTGTTTCCCAGTAACAAATATCAGCAAAAAATTGGACATTAAAGTAAGTGTATTTATAGGAGATGTAAAAACACCATGAAGTAGCAGGTTATTTTAACCTTTGTGTTAGGCTCCACAGATGCACTGTCTGCACATTAAAACATTTGTTCTGTAATGTAATAATTTAAATTTGAGTACCGTATGTTGTAGTTTTGCTGTGGTGGGGGGTAAAATTCAGGTGTTTTATCTCCCACAATGCCCTCAACAGTGTCACGTGGTCTGTAAGGCTTGAACGGCGCTTACACAACAAGCATGCGTTTGTTGTCACTCACAACACTGTCGCTGAAGACGGGAAAGGCAAATAAACGGCCAACTATTAACGGGGGTTTCTTTCTGTAAGCGTATCTGTAAACCATTGGATTGTTTTGAAAACAGGAGACGGAGCAGATAGTGGGTAGGTTTATTGCCATATCGTTGGGATCCATCCCCCACTGGTTGATTATTACAGTGAAAACCTACTGCCTAACTAACGGGAGTGCCGAGAGTTGTTTATTAAGCCACACATTGTACTCAAGATCTTGAAATCTCCAGGAAACGTGTTCATCTGGTCTCTCTGGGCTGATTATTAGCCTCCGCTGAAATGTTGAATCATTTAAAATGGGTTTATGCGTTTTTTTTCCCCAACAATTTGTTTTAAAACTCAGTTATTTTCTATTCAACTGATTTCACCCTCCACAAGTGCTTAAAAAACAAACTTACCCGAGTATTCAGAGTGAAAACAGCGGCAGCACAGTGCAACAGTACTGTTCTTTATATCACATTAATACTGTAAGTGAATGATAGAAAGTAATTTCAACATGCCAGCATCAGGAAGCGGCAGTATTAAGGCACGGATTCAGCATGGATTACAACTTGCAGATAATTTATTACAGGGATTACAGAGTACATAAAAAGTGAGAAATGCTCTTGTGTAGAAGAGGATTTCTTGCAGGGATGAATGTCAGGGAATAACGCTCACTGGAGAGATGGAGACAGTAATTAAGCCACTGTGCTGACAGCCAGTCTGCCTTGTGTTCACTCTCACCTCAGCATTACTGTGTCTATTGCTTTGCCAGCCCTGCAGGGCAAAGCATAACCTGCACCAGACATGGACATTTAGTGGGGTTTCTTCTCATAATTGGAATAATAATAATAATAATAATAATAATACCTCCGTTGTCATCAGCTCGTCCTTGATACATTTTTCGATTCCTTTTCAGTCATCTTGAATCAAGACAGTATTTTTTGAAAAACGTACAGCCACCAGAATAATGTCCGTGTTTTGTGTCTGACCCTCCTGGAGCCCTGCTGCTGCTGCTGCTG